CGACTCGAAGACGGCGGGAAATCCGCGTACCAGAATCCGTTGATGCTCCGCCGCGACCAGACGGACGACGTCAGCGCTACCGGCAGAACCGCCGGCAGCAAGAGGCTGCTGCAAGTCAATCTCCATGGACGGATCAAACGTTGATTTCGGAACATCCGCCCGCACCGCACCACCCGTTTCGCAACTACCACGCACGGGCTTGCTTTTCTGGAGTGTCACTCACACTACGAGCTTGTGATGAAGTGAGACGCAGAAGCGGGAAACAATTGACCAGCACAGTCTAACTCTAAAACAACCCCGTTGTCAGATGATTCGCTTTGACAAATGGCTCGAACCTTTTGCGGCGATGGAAGAGAAACCTCACCTTCGCCAACATACAGAACACACATTCCTATGTTACTTCAAGACACTTTTTGCACTAAAAGCATCTAATAACACAGCTACTCACTTACGGGCAGGCTTGTTTGTCTCTTTACGCTCTAAAAAAGCAGCTCTTGAAACCACATGCACCAGAATGGAGGCCACCTCGTTCAAATCAAACTTGATGCTACTAAACCGCTCCTGCTTCATCGGAGAAAGCAGCTCCTTCACTTGCTCTATATCACGTGGATCATCTCCACCACAGCCTTCAAGACCATCCTCAAGGACTTGGAGTGACTTGGACTTCAAGTGCAATAGTGCATGCTCGTCCTTATTAACCTCCGACTTGCATATGATTTCGTGGAAAAGCTGATGAGTGGATTGCGCCACCTTGTACTGTATGAACACCTGATTCGTGCACGGGCAGCAATGCAAGTACGAGGAGGGATGGAAGCTAAGAGGAAAAGACCAAGCTCCCTGATGATGATTCAGCAAGAAAAAGGACCAGCCAAAGCCCGTGGAAAAGCAGTGCAGAAATTGGACAGAAATGGCAGTGAAAGGGCACAGCACATGACATGCATTCGTACATTGTCGTGGCGCTCCAATCCGGTGAGGTCATGCAGTGTGGCTGAGAGCAGCCTGTCGTCCACCATGTGGTGCACTTGCTGTGATGCCCTCACTGCTACCTGCCAGCACACAGACATGCGAGTCACATCACATGGAAGGCCAGAAAGAACATGAGGAGGGCGGCACAGACACACCGCATATGAGCAGCCTGTGGTCCACCATGTGGTGCACGTGCTGTGATGCCCTCACTGCTAGCTGGGGGCACACATGCATAAGGAAGGGTCACGATCATCACACATGCGGAACAAGCATGAACACACGCAAGGGAGAGGCCGATTGAAATGAAAGAGCTGACTTGAACGGTTCGACTAGAAAGAGCAGGGAACGTAAGGCATAAGACGGGGTGGCGATGTATTGAAGCAATGGTGGGAGGGGAGCATGGGATCACGCTAGCTTACAAGAGATGCCGCCCGGATGATATCTTCCTCTGTGGTGAGCCTCCATGCATTCTTCTTCCTTCTTGCCGCCCGCTGACTGCCACTGCCATGCGCATCATCACCCGCAGCATCAGCAGCAGCAGACACCGCCCCTTCTTCCCCTTCACTACTGTCACACTCACCACCATCACTCACACCATCACCACCAGAGCCTTCCTCTGCCCCTGCCACCACATCGTCACCCCCTCTACCCTCCCCCGCCTTCCCCTCATGCCCCTCCCTTCCCTCCACTCCCACACCTCCTCCTCCTCCTCTCCCCCAGGTCGTCCTCACTGCCCCCATTGCACCCATCCCTCCCGTGCCTTCCAGAGCGACCAGCAACCGGCTCACATCGGTCAGCATCTGCTGCTCCTCGTGCCACTGCTGCCCCCACGCCCGCACCCTCGCCAGGCTCTCGGCCACTGCTGATGCCAAGTCAGGCGTCAACACCTGTGCTGCTGCCCCGCCTCCACCCTCTGCCTCTCCTTTACCTCCCTCTCCTGAAAGAAGTAACCCCGAACTCTCTATCGCTTGCTTACGCTCCTGTGTCTCCCCCTTCTCCCCATCCCCCTCCCATTTTCCCTCCCCTCCCCCCTCTCCTACCTCCTCAAGTCTAGCAGCGAACCTACCGATTCCCCCTCCTCGAAGCATCATCTCAGATACCACCTCCCCCAGCTGCCCCTCCACAGCTGCCAGCTCCTGCAGTACGGCCTCCCTCCTCGCCTTCAGAGCCCCCACAGCCCCCCTCACGGCCCTCGCCACCTCCCCTCGCCCCATCCCCTCCATCCCCTCCTCCCCTCTCCACTCCACCTCCCTGAATCCCTCCCAATCTTCTTCTTCCATCCCCTTGCTTCCCTCTGTTGCCCACTGCCCTCCTCCCACGTACTCTCCTCCTCCAATGCTTCCATCACTACAAATTTCTCCTACCTGTCCCTCCTGTTGCTTCGGGCCAAACCTGCTTTCCTTCTCCCTCCGGCCTTCACCAGTCAGGCTCGGTTTCTCCTCACTCGGCCAGGCCGGACCCTGAATACCGAGCCTCTGGCACAGGTTCGGATGGGAGGACTGGGCAAAGGAGATGGCGACACGTGCCGCAATCCGAGCGGACGGACAGGAGGGGTGAGCGGCGAGGACAGCTGTCAGGAGGGCGAGAGGACGGAGGTGGTTCGGCAAATCAGAGGCCGCCAGGTGGAGAGCGAGGAGTGAGAGCCACGTGGATGGGTGGCATGGGTTGTCTGGTTGCACTAGTGCGTCCAGCTCGTGTAGCAAGTCCTGCAGAAGACAGAAGGAAGCAGGTGGGTCGGCAGAGGTCGGCAGGGGGCAGAAAGATTGGAGGATGAGAGGTAGGAGGATGAGAGGTAGGAGGATGAGGAGCGAGTGCTGGAAGGATGCTTGCAAACAGTAGACGGAGGGTGAGGGAGTGCGTTACTCGATGTGCGAGGGCCGAAAAAGGAGGGGCGCATGCCCACTGTGCAGGTCAGGGCCACTAGTGCAGTCCCCCAGCACGGGCACACAGAGAGAGGTCATTATTGGGTAACTCACAAACATGAGGTCGGGGCGGTCTGTCATCGCCTTCTGAGAAAACTTCTTTGCCCGCAGGTACTGCGCCTGGTGGGGAGAGTGGGGAGAGTGGGGAGAGAGGGGAGAGAGGGGAGAGAGAGAGGGGCACGGAGAGGGAGGGGCACGGAGAGGGAGGGGCATGGAGAGGGAGGGGCACGGAGAGGGAGGGGCACGGAGAGGGAGGGGCACGGAGAGGGAGGGGCACGGAGAGGGAGGGGCACGGAGAGGGAGGGGCACGGAGAGGGAGGGGCACGGAGAGGGAGGGGCATGGAGAGGGAGGGGCATGGAGAGGGAGGGGCATGGAGAGGGAGGGGCATGGAGAGGGAGGGGCATGGAGAGGGAGGGGCATGGAGAGGGAGGGGCATGGAGAGGGAGGGGCATGGAGAGGGAGGGGCATGGAGAGGGAGGGGCATGGAGAGGGAGGGGCATGGAGAGGGAGGGGCATGGAGAGGGAGGGGCATGGAGAGGGAGGGGCATGGAGAGGGAGGGGCATGGAGAGGGAAGGGCATGGGAAAAGAGGGGTTGGGAGCAAGAGGGGGGAAGGGACTGCCACCAGTGGAAGTAGTTTCTGGTGCATGTAGTTGCAGGCAGTAGCAGGCAGTAGCAGGCAGTAGCAGGAAGTAGCAGGCAATAGCAGGCAGCAGCAAGCAGCACTTACCTGTGATGGCAGCAGCAGAGGGAGCAGGTTGAACTGCCAGAGCATGCGAACGGACGGCTCAGATGCGCCGTGAGACATCATCTGCACCAGCTCCATTTGCATGCGAGACTGTGATGAGCAGGAGTGGGGGAAAGGACAGAGAGAAGGGGAGAAATGGAGGGAAGAGGGTGAGACAAATGACGTGTGATTATGAAATTAGCAAGCGGGATCAAGATGCAAGGGAAAGGGAAAAGGCGAGCAAGCTGAGGAGAGATGTGGACGAAAAAGGTGATGCGTGAGAACGATTGCAGGGAGGCACGTGGCAGCACCTGATTGAGCATGGAAGCACCTGAGGTAGAGTGGCGACGGCGGGCAGGGTGGAGGGCGCCTTGAGAGCCCGGGTCACCCCCGTGCTCAGACGGAAGCCCAGCCGCGCCGCCAGGCGAATGGCCCTCACACACCGCGCTGGTGGGCGCAGTGCAATGACAGGGAGGTGGGGGGGAAGAAAGGAGGTTGCTCAGGAGGGTGTTCAGGAGGTTGCTCAGGAGGGTGTTCAGGACCGCGCTGGTGGATGCAGTCAAAAGAGGGGGAAGGGGAGGGGAGGGGACAGGCAGGTTGTTCAGCAGACCATTCAAGTCCTGCAGGTTACCCGGGCATTCAAGACCATTCAAGTCCTGCAGGTTACCCGGGCATTCAAGACCATTTAAGGGGAGGGGAGGGGACAGGCAGGTTATCCATGTTTGTGCTATTCACTCTGCCCTTATTTTCAGGAAAACAAGGCATGGAGCGGGCTGCGGGAATACAAGACAAGAAAGACCACCAGGGCGATATTGACTTGACTTGACTTGACTTGACTTTACTTGACTTGAGTGCAACTCACCAGGGTCCTCCTGGAAGCTGGCTCGCGTGTCGCCAATGACTCGCACCTGATGGCAGCAGGACAGACGAGGACAGACGAGCACAGAGAAAGGCTATACAGAAACAGAGCAACAGAGCAACAGAACGTGAATCTCAAGCTGGAGAGGAGCACACCAGAGCGGCAAGTGGGGAGAGCAACGGAGAGGGTGCCAAGCAGAGAGAATCACATGTGCTTCTTGCAAAGGCAAGGCCTTCAACAGAATGACATGCATTCCTTGTGCAAGCAAGCAAGGGCACTGACGGTTTGTTTGTAGAGGTCCCGGGTGCCGCCCACATAGTCAAACAGCATGTGGCGATGCGGGTCGAAGAACAGGCTGTGCGGAGGGGGAGGGAGCGGAAATAGGAGGCAAATTGTAAGTCAACTCAGAGGTCACAACGAGGGTGGGTGCAAGAGGGGTTGCTTGAGATGGCAACGAAGGGACAAAAGCAATTATTTCCTAACCCAGCACCAGCTTTCACAACTGGCATTCCTCACCCTCAGCATCAGCATCAGAGCATCAGAGCATCAGAGCATCAGAGCATCAGAGCATCAGAGCATCAGAGCATCAGCATCAGCATCAGCAGCAGCAGCAGCAGCAGCAGCAGCAGCAGCTCACAAGCACCAGCCTAGCAAACCCCGGCACTGGCAGCTCACGCGTTGACAGTGAGGTCGCGCTTCATGGCGTTGCGCCAGCGCCGCTCGTCGCCCTCCGACCACACATACGCATGCCGCTGCACCGCTGGCCGCACTGCCACGCTCCTCCAATCCACTTGAGCCTCGTCTGACTCGCTTTGACTCGCCTTCGCCCTTGCAGCAGCGCCACTGGCTTTGGTACCCTCAGCAGCAGCAGCAGCAGCAGCAGCAGCAGCAGCAGCAGTGGAACCAGTAACTGTTCTGGCATGACCAGCGGCACCATCAATACCTGCTGCTGCAGCAGCCCCAGCAATGCCAGCATCAGCAGCAAGTGCAGCAGCAACATCCCCCGCCTCCTCACCCAACCCCTCCTGCACTACTTCTGCTGCACCCCCTTCTGCCCTCTCCCCTCCCCCTTCCTCCCCTTCCTCATCCTCCTTCTCATCCGCCCATCCATCTGTCTCCACAGATACAACCTTCACCAGATCTACCTCCTCCCAGCGCTCCTTCTCTCCAAACCCCCCTGCCTCCTGTGCCCCGTTTGTAGTCCCATCTGTGCTCCCATCCTCCCCTGCTGCTGTTGCTGCTGCTGCGAGCTGTTCTGGTTCTAAAGCAGAGGGGGGCTGAGCGGCGGGTGCTACCAACAGTACATCGTCTTTCGAGGGCACAGCAGGGGGAATCACCGCGGTTGGCTCACTGTCGAAACTGGAAATCTGCACTCGTGCAAACAGTAGGTGGAGCAACAGGGAGAAATGGGTTGATATCACGGTGGTGCATTGATGAACGGATGGATGGGCAGATGCATTGAAAAGCATGCATGCAAGATGAACGATGCATACACGTGCATTGAGATGAGATGCATCAAGCATTGAGATGAGATGCATCAAGCATTGAGATGAGATGCATCAAGCATTGAGATGAGATGCATCAAGCATTGAGATGAGATGCATCAAGCATTGAGATGAGATGCATCAAGCATTGAGATGAGATGCATCAAGCATTGAGATGAGATGCATCAAGCATTGAGATGAGATGCATCAAGCATTGAGATGAGATGCATCAAGCATTGAGATGAGATGCATCAAGCATTGAGATGAGATGCATCAAGCATTGAGATGAGATGCATCAAGCATTGAGATGAGATGCATCAAGCATTGAGATGAGATGCATCAAGCATTGAGATGAGATGCATCAAGCATTGAGATGAGATGCATCAAGCATTGAGATGAGATGCATCAAGCATTGAGATGAGATGCATCAAGCATTGAGATGAGATGCATCAAGCATGCCAAGCAGCAAAAACTGCATGCATGAGTAAGAGCACGAATCTCAGGGGTGGGTAAGGACCAGCTCAACCAACCTCCACAAAGCCATTGCCCCCCTTCGCTCACGTCCACGACAGAGTTTTTGAGGAAGACGCGGCAGATGGGGAAGCGGCGGCCAATCACGACAGGGCGGAACTTGCGCTCGCGGAACACGCGTGCCACGTGGGCGGGTGACGCGTCCACTATGATGTCCACGTCCTTGGGAATTCGGCCCAAAAAGAGGTCGCGCACTGCCCCGCCCACCAGGTAGGGTTCCAAACCTGGGTTCAAGGTTTAAGGGTGCAAGGTTTCTGGGTTCAGGGGTCGGGGATGAACAAATGGGCAGGGTTCAGAGCGGATAAAAAGAGCGAGATAGAGAGGGCGGAAGAGAGCGAGGAAGAGGAAAAGACGGCGGTTGATGAGGCAGCGGCGCGCACCGGCATCTTTGAGAACCTTGAACGCGATCCACGCGTGCAACGGCAGGCCGCCACGTCGGATGGGATGCTCGAACTCCCCAAACACCCACGCCGGCACCCGCTTCTGTCGCCGCCTCTCCTCCGCCTCCCACCACCCGCTTCCCCCGCCTTTGCCCCCGCCCTTCCGCCCACCGCCCTCTGCGCGGGTCTGCGCCCCGCCCCCCGCCGCCGCAGCCTCTGGCGTACGTTCCGCAGAAGTTTCCGCCATCCGCGCCACCTCGTCCGCATCCGCCGCTGGCGCAGCTTCTGCGGCAGCCGCCAATCCCCGCCGCCCCCGAACATCTAACTCCCGCGAACCGTACTCCCGGCGGAAAATCCCGCCGCTCCCAGCAGGCGTGTTCGGAAGCCATGTGGGCGGATAAACGGCGCTTGCGTACCCAGCTGGGGGAAAGAACGTATTCAGTTGTGCGGTATCATGTACCGGTTCATCCCGTGCCACGTGGGTCGTACGGCTAATCGTGACGCCCCATCTGCCGCCTTGCTGTCGTCGAAAGCGAAGGGAGCGCGAGGCTGCGCGCGAGACGAGGTGGCGCTGCATGCCTACAATCGCATCGCTGCGTTATCCTCTACGATCCTCGAAGATTCCTCAAGCTCTTATCGAATCCTTCGAAATCGTTAGAGAAATGTACGGTGAACGCTCGAGAAGGAACTCGACGGGGAGTAACCGATGGTGTCGCGTCTAGTAGTCACCTTCCGTTGCAGGTCTTACTGATGGCGACTGATGATGATTGGGCTCTGCTTTGTCAGATCCGATTACGCGCTTCAGGAGGACCCGACAGAGCATGCGTGATAACCGCAGGCGTGAATGTGAAATGGCTAGGAATGAAAAAAATATTATATTTAGTAGAAGAAATATCTAGATTAGATTGCAAGGGCTTGCAAATCTGACCTGCTGTTATATTCATCAATGGTTTAGGCACTCGGCCAACTCCAACACAAGCTCTATTCTAACTTGACTCGTATCCCCGTCCCTCACCTGTAGCTTCACCAACTTTTCTCTATCCCAATCCACCTGCAGAAGGTGGGGAATGGGACAAACAAGATAATAATCAAGAGAAAAGGGTGAGCTAAATCTTAAGGAAACCATCACTTTCACCAACGCAAAGCTACAACACTCCTTAAAATGCAGAATATGATCCATGGTATTCACACCACAACGGCACTTCCAACCCCCACCAGCACTCACCTCCACCATGCCAAAGGAGGGGGCAGGGGCAATGGAGCACTCGGAGGGGTGCCGCATCTTGAGCGGGTCATGCGTCCACGCGTTGCCTGCCCATCCCTCCCGCACACACGCACACACACAGCCACACAGCCACAGGGAATGAGCAAACCAAAGAAGCTGCGTGCTCCCTCCCACTCCTATGATTCTGTTTTTGAGGCACCTCGGAAAATGCTCTCAAAAGAGATGTGTTTGCGAGGTGATGGTCTGACTAGAGAGGGTGACAGCGGAGCGGAGGGGCCTGGTTGGGTGATGCCCAAGCAAAGAGATGATGATGCGCAAGAGAAGAGATAGTGGGTGATGCCGAGAATGAGAATTCCCAAACCAGCTGGATCTCAATCTCGTTCGACGGCAGATTGACTCGCTTGACCAAAGATTGACTCAGTTGGACTGCATACTGATTGACTTGACTCCAGAATGATTCATTTTGACATCAGACAAACTCACCTGGACTGCAGGATGTGTCTATTCGTGGTCTCCTTGTCAATCCACTTGCCATGACCTGCCAATTCAGACAAGACGGAAACAAAAAGACCGTACTGACATCACAAAAACTGTACGCGATGCAAAAAAAAGGGGGCGCATGGGGGTAGATGAGGCGGTAATGCTGCAAGGCGCAAATAAGTTCCGAGTCAAATCATGGGTGAAGCGCGTGGGGCTGACAGACCTGGTAGATGGGGCGATAGTGCTGTGAGCTGCGGTAGAGATCCGTGTATGCCCGCCCTGGACCCGGCCGGAACACCTGGTGCCCCACGCAGGAGTCCACGCAAGTAAGCAGACACGCAAGCAGCACACAAGCAGGGAGGAAGATTATTCAGGAACCAACCATGCGGCCTCAAGAAATGACCACAGCCTGCTAGTGCCAAACACCAATCAGGATTGACAGAAACAGGCACAATACCTGTTTAAAGCCCTACCTTGATGTCTGAGTACCCCATGTCCCCTGTCAGCAGCACCACACACCCCTTCTCGACCCGCGAGAGCATCTCCAGAAAGTGCAGCTGTGCCGGCTTGTAACACTCCCAATCGTCCCCCGAGCATGTGCACTGTGTTACGTTGGTAACTGGGTCCTCCGTAACCGGCGCCACAGGCGGAACGGACGTAGAAGGAGGCTCGGAAACCGAACCATTGGCACCAGAAGGTGCTGCTGCTGCTGCTGCTGCCGAGCCTGCAAAATCCGGTTCATCAGGAGGTTCGGACCCATACGGCCCGGTAAGCGTGGCAGCAGTGGAGAGCTCCTTCGGGAACGGCGAGCAGGGCTGCGGCAGCGGATTCGTGAAGAGCGGCGAGGGCGAGACAATGACCTTGATGGGCGCATTCGAGTCGTGCAACTCATCCTGCAGCCACAGGCGCTGCTGCCGCCCCAGCACCTCACAGTACTGCGAGTTATGCGGCTCCGGTTGCTCTTCTATGTATATGTCCCAGAGCGCAGGGTCCTTGCCCTTCTTGCGCACGCTGATCTTCTGCGATCCGAATGCATCGTGAGCTGGACTGCACGCCTCTTCCCACAGGGAGTGGTTGCGGTGCGCCTCGTGCCCGCACCACGCTGCTCTGTGCCAGAGGGGGGAGGAGGAGGAGAGGGGGAGAGAGAGGGCCTTGGAGGTTGCTTTGAGAGACAAAAGTCTCCTCCCACAGCAAGTGGTTGCGGTGCGCCTCGTGCCCGCACCACGCTGCTCTGTGCCAGAGGGGGGAGGGGGAGGAGGGAAGGGGAGAGGCAAAGCGGGGAGATGGGAGAAAGGGAGGAGAGCGAGAGCGGGAAGAGAGGAGGAGAGGAGGAGCTACGGAGGTTGCTTGAGAGGCATTAATCTCAAGTGTCAGTGTCAAGCTGCAAGAGTGCTTGCAAGCTTTGCATTGCATTCGATTCGTTACGGGCCTTTTAAGAAGCTTCCACATGCTTGTTCGATACCATGAAAGTTTGAAACAGCTTCTCATCCTCGTTATAATCTCACCTTGGAAGAGTTTCTCGTCCTTGTCACAGCACGACCACCGATTCCGAGGCACCTCCCGCCCTAGAAAGTCCCCGCACCTGCACACAGGCACGGGAAAGGAACAAACCATAAAACGTGGGCGGCCAGAAGCACACAGAGGAGCAAGAGGTTGTTGCTGCAAAAGGGCACAAATACCTGGCCGGCCAGGGGGGGTCGCGTGCAAGGAAGTCGCATGCAAGGGGGGCACAAATACCTGCTCTCCCTCACCTGATCGACGCACAGCACCCATCGACATGCAAGACCCCCTGTCTCACCACGAGCGCCAGCTATGTGGTCTGTCAAGGTCCATAACAGAGGTGCAGAACTCCCGACGCACGTGGCATGGCAGGTTCTCCCGGTAGTACCGCTCGTCCAATAGGAACACGTCGATCTGCTGACCTGGCAGCGCCTCGTTCAGGTGGTACTGCAGGCGAGGGGGCAACGGTGGTGAGGGGTACAGAACGGTAGATAAAGGGTGTGGAATGGTGAGTCTGTTGGAGCAGTCAAGCAGCAGAGACAGAACACCAACTCGAGGGCGCAATTGATAAGGGGTGTGGAGTGGAACAATGAATTGGCTGGAACAGTCAGTCAATCCCTGGATACCGTCCCCTCACCACGGCCTGCATGCCATCCCCCTCTCGCTCCGCTCCCCTCTCCACTTCCACCTCTCCATCTCCTTCGCCTCTCCCACCCCAGCCCGCTCCCCCCTCCCCCCTCCCCTCTCCCCCTCCCCCCTCCCCCTCCCCCGCCCCTCACCACAGCCTGGATGCCATCTCCGCGGTCACGCCGCGGGTCCTCTTTGGGCGCGCCCAGGGCATCGAGGAAGACGGTCTTGAGCGGGTCCTTGTGCATCAGTCGTTTGTACCCGTGCGCCCTGCTCACACAGGGATAGGGGTGAGGTGAGTGAGGGTGGGGGTGACAAGTGAGAGTTAGACAGGGCTACCTATCGGCTAAGGGGAATTGAGAGAGTGTGAAGGAGGAATGCAGGTGAGGAGTGTGGGTGAGGAGTGTGGGTGGGGAAGGGCGTGAAGGGAAACGCACCAGCCGAAGTCCCGGTCATCATACACGCCCAGGATGCTGCGCGGGCATGCGGACGGATCAGAGCCATCGGGGATCGGCGTCACGTTGCTCGGCTTGTAGCGCGGACACATGAACTGCAGAAACTGCAACACGGTCATTCCAACCCCCCTCCCATCCATCCAATCCAACCGAGCCCATGCCCCCCACGTAATCCAAATGAATCCAGTCAGATCCATTTCACCCAGCACATCCAATTCTCAATCCTCCCCCCCAGAGACAGACAGAAACCATTGACAAAGCATGAACGCTTTTCATGTGGTGCTCGGGTTGCTGCTACTCAGGTAGCACGCAGAGGGATCAGCACACCATCAGTCAGGCCAAGAGCAGAACACAGCAGAGCATCAGCACAGCACGAAAGCAGCACGAACAGGCACGAGCAGCGCACAGAGCTTGATTAGAGCAGAGCTTGTTGGAACGAACAGGAATGCAAGAGATGAAATGCAAGCACGCGGCCATACTTTTATGTAATCTGGGTTCTGTAATTGCTGCTGCATCCGAGTGATGGCATACTTGCTGTTTCCTGGAGAGCCAGGAGGAAGGGGGGGAAAGAAGAGAGTGGGACCGAGGGTAGCACAGGCTCAGGTGAGAATGTGGACAGGGGTGAGGTGCTTGAACTGCCAGAGAAGATATGAATTCTGCATTTAGTTGTCAATTTTTGGCATTGTTACAGCTCAGAATTGGATTTTTTTTGGAAGAAACACTTCAAGTGCTCACCTCTGACACATGATATGCCCCGTTGTTGAAACCAGTCGCTAGTACAGTTACATTGTGGATGTAACGGCCACCGTGTACAGTTCACCTCGGGCTCATCCAGATACGCCATGTCACCAAGCCTGATCAGATGACACATGGAACAGGAAGAAGTAAGTCACAAGCTTCTGAAACTTAGGGTTTCCAAGAAAACGATCGCATCTGAGATTAATGGTCTCTCCGCATTGACTAAGGTTAGGGTTACATGAAGAACCAATCCCAAGGGACTGACGTGGCTCACCATATCCACACGTCAGGCGAGGACGGAATGACGCCTCGTGTCCACACTGGCTGCGACGTGTTCTCCGGAGTTGTCCCAGACCCGAACGCTATTCTACGCACTCGCCGAGTGGTCAGAAACGCCCACATCGCTTTAGGGTTTCCTAGGAACGGAGCGATCCCGGACATTAAAAAGGACGAGAGAGCTAACGCGATGACGAAGGCGACGAAGAGAAACCGTAACATTCGCCATGTCCTGGGAAGCATGAGCGGCGGTCGGCGAGAGAAGGACGGTCGTTGCTTCGGTTTATGCTTCTGCTTCTGCTTTATCGCGTCGGTCTGCTTCTTGTGACTCGCTGCCAGATTGCCTCCACTCCCCATTCTGCCGGTTGCTTGCGAGTAGGAAGGCGAAAATTGAGCTCCGCTTGACAGGATATGTGTGCTGTCTCTGCTGGTGCCGATGTGCAGATCGCCATTTCTGTGACCCGATGACGACATCGAGTCGAGCCCCTCGATGTCGTAATGAAGATGAGCTACCTATTACGAACAACCAAGAACACTATTGATCTGTAGATTGATATAGGTATCGAGTGGGTTGATCACTCGCGGCTCGCCTAGCGTGGAAAGTATCTGACGGCAAAACTGACACAGCTTCATTGACTAAAACAAGAATCCATGATTTGGTACCTAACGGCCGCGACGAAGGAACCTGAGTACAGAAAAGAGGCTGTGAGTAATGCCGTGCTGTGTTCTTTCAGTGCACGATTCTCAAGCAAGTAAATGGAGGCAGAGATGAAGTATGGCCGCCATTTTCTAGAAACAGCCTGACTGAAGCGGTCCAGTTGAAGCCTGTTGAGAGACAGAAACAGGTGAATCCCGCGAAGCAATCTTATTGGTGGACAAAGGCAAAACATCTGCAATAAAAAGTTACGTCGAGGCGATGCTTGTAACCCACTCGCAGCTGCTCGCTCGAAATTGCCGTTGCGATGCGATGCTTGCGACTTTTGTTCAAAGAACGTGGGTTCTCCTCTCCTTGTCATGTTCGCGAAACAGTTCCGCAAATTTCCTCCGAAACTGTGTCTCGCTAAAGGTTAGAACAGATGAGCTTGCACATTCGAGAAACACTCGTCACAAAGCAGGCGATATATCCAAAAATGTTAAATGAGTTGGGGATTCCAGACCTTTTGCTCACCGAGGGGCCGTAGTTACTTCTCGCAGCGAAAGGGCAAGCGAATGGGGGGCGGGGCAATCCTGGATGCTGATTTTTGCGCGTGCTGGATTCCTGCGCTGTGCATTTCTCCGCCGCACCCCCTACGCTTCGCAGCGCTGTCATCACAGCACAGCACAAATGAAGTTGCGGTCTTCCCCGCCATGGGATCCCCGCGCACGATCTGCGTCACTTGCAGTTTACGCCAGCGGGATGCTGACGTCCGCCCAAGCCCCGACAAACATCGTCGCTGGGGCAAAACAAATTCTCGTGATCTTGGCCAGGGCTGTCGATTGGTTTGGAGCCAGAACTTGAGAGGTAGAGGTGCCCCAAAAGTTGCCCTGAAATTAACGGGCTGAGAGCAAACCTGGCACTTGAAATCAGGGCTACCAACTTTTTCACACTTTCGCTAAGGAAACCCCACATCTCTTCGAGTCCGTTATCTTAGGCAAACTACTAAGAGCCAGCTAAGCAATAGGCTGAGGTGCGAAACATGTCGATGGATTGACAGAATGGGAAAAGTAGGGGAATGGCTGGGAGGAGGCGAGTGGACTGGTGAGGGAATGGAAGGGAGGGAGGTTTTGTATGGGACGATTAGGGCTAGCCGCGGGAGCTACACTTGAAATCCGGGTTAGGCCCACAACCAGCACTTAACGGGGACGGGCTGCCCTCAAATCCAACCCTTAAACTTCGGAATCTGGGCCGAACCCAACCCTTAATGTTCAGGGCATTAAGGGCATTTGCCCTTGAATCGTCAGCCCTGCTCTTGGCTGTTTGCCGAATCGCCAGTCGTGCAAAAATTCACACTCGAGACGGGGAATCGAAGGGGCAAGCAGAGCAGAATTGGGTTTGGTTGGTGGTGTGGTGGTGAGATCGGATGGTGATGCGTTGCGTGTGACCGGGGAACACATCAGCCCCGGGCCGGGTGTGACAGATCTTGTCATGCCATTGTCGATGAGTGTTGACCATGGACGGTGGTTCTTCTCAAGCTCTGGCCCTCAACCTCGAACTTGTAGTGAGTACATAACTCACTTGTGAGAGAAGCCTTTCGGTGTGACTAGAGTTCATTACCACAATAGTCAGCCTGAACGATCTCTACCGCTCGCCCCCTTGCGCTTTCTTCCTAGTTCCCATTTCGCTCGAACGTCTCGTCCCGTTCCACTTTCTCCCTTCCCGCGTTCCTCCTGCTCTATTTGTTCCTCATTATACAGCGCAGCCACACAAGCCTCCGCGAGCTGCTTCGTAGATCCTCCGAGAAACGCAGCTTCCTCTTACTCACGACTTCACGCACCCGGACCGCGCTGGGGTGTCTTCAACTGAGAAGCAGACCTTCAGTATGGACTTCGTAATGCGAGCGTCGTTAGCGGATCCGTCTATATCGGGACCACCGATAAGCAGTAGTTCCACAGGCGAGAGACCGCCGTTGCTGACACCGGAACAGGGCCGGATTGTGCGGGAGACATTCGCCGAGTTCGTGGAGCCAAACGCCGATCAGCACGCCATCATTCTCTTCCTCATGTATGCACCCCCTCATAGCCACGTAATAATACATTTGTTCTGAGACGTCTTTAAACAAATTTGTTATCCCGAGTTCGTGGAGCCGAACGCCTTTCAGAACGCCATCATTCTCTTCCTCATGTACGGAAC